AGATTACTATTCAGCTGTCTCATGTCTATTTTCATTTTAGTATTTAGCAGTTTATAGTGTTGAAGCATAATTTTGCTAAACTTGGCAGATTTTAGGATAGTCTAAACTGGCTTATAACTCCAACAAGGCATATGTCAACAGTTGAGGTGCAGGACAGTTTTAGGAGGGGTGTGCAGAGAGATCTTCAATACCTTAGTGAGGAGTAACTAATCTTTGTGCCCTACCTAGTAAGGTATATGTGGATCCACGCTGACCATTTCCTGTCCGATTCTAAGCTTTCTTTGTTGTTCTCTATTCTAGATTTTTTGTTTGTTTGTTTGTTTGTTTTGAGGGGTTTCTGGAGCGATCCTGATGGTCATTGCAAGAGAGGGTGGGGACCCAAAGTTGGAACCAAGCAAGGACCAGAGAGAGCTCCCCTCCCTAGTCCCGAAGGAAGTTTACTATTCTTCTGTTTCTGTGGACTGCTCATGGCTCCTGGCTGTCATTCCAATGACCTTGGATCCTGCAAGGAAGGATTTGGGCTTCTTCCATCCCCTGTGGTAGATCCAAAGGGGGTGGGTGACCTCAGAGTTCTCAGCCTCCGAAGGCACTCCAATTCCCCGTGGTCTCCTTGGCAGTTGGGATGGAGTCCTTGGTGCCCATGCTGATAGTCCTTGGTGAGGATCCAGGAGTTGGGATACAGGGTTGGGATACAAGCCTCCTCCTGTCCACCCGCTCCACTCTGGGCCCTCCCCCTGCCCTCCATGTGTATGACCTCCTGTGAAGAGGTTGTCAGGATCGCTCTTGGTTCCCCCATATGCCTTTGTAGCTTTACTGTTGTCTAATGCTGATCCGAGTCTGTTGTCTATGAGTTACCAGTTATGATCCTGGTAGATTATACTTCCCTTCTTCCTCACACACTCTAGGGAGATGGAAGATTTCTCTGCTCTCCCACCCCATTACGGAATAACATAGAGTATTAAAAATATATTAGGTTTTACAGTTCTTTGATGTAGATCATAAGCAGTCTGACTCACATTGATTGTTGGTTCATTGGTTACACTGCAATATCTTATTTCAGGTTGAGATAATATTGAGGTTGAGATAATATTACAGTTTACAGGTACTATTTTTCAGATTGATATCATTTCATCTTAAGGCAAACATGTGGTATCTAATCTTTTGGGATTGGCTCATTTCCCTTAGCATTATGGTTTCCAGTTGGGCCCATTTGACCACAAAGAACTGCATCTTGTTTTTTTAATAGCTGAGTAGTATTCCATGGAGTAGATGAACCAAAGCTTTCTTATCCAATCTTCTGATGTGCATTTCGGTTGCTTCCACGTTTTTGCAATTACTGATTGTGCTGCTATGAACATAGGGATGCGTGTTTTCTTGTGTAACAGGTGTTTTGGATATATTCCTAGGAGTGCTATTGATGGATCATATGGTATGCAGATTTTGAGTTGTTTGAGTGTTCTCCAGACTGATTTCCATAGAGGCTGTATCAACCTGCAGCCCCACCAGCAGTGGAGTAGGGTTCCCTTTTCCCCGCATCCTCTCCAGCAAGTGTTGTTGGTGCTTTTTTGTATGTGGGCCAGTCTTACTGGGTTAGGTGGTACCTCATTGATGTCTTAATTTGGATTTCCCTTATTGCCAGGGAACTTGAGCATTTTTTCATGTGTTTGTTTGCCATTTGGATTTGTTCCTTTGTGAAATGTCTGCCTACTTCCCATCAGGTCCCCGCTTAACCTCCAGACTAGGGCCCTTTCTCTGAAGACCTTCCCTTACCCTCACCCTCGCCCCAGGGTTTGGGACACACGGGGCTGGGCCTGGCTGTGGTGCTGGGGCTGGCTGAGGCTGTGGTTGCAGTGTGTGTGTGTGTCTGCAGCAAGTTCTCAGTGACAGAGCTGAGAATTCTTTGCACATCGGCAAGTAGGGAATTTCAAATTTTATAAGCTGCATTTGTATTTACCCGAGTATCATGCCATTTTCCTAGAGTGGCAGCCACCTTCCTCCTGCCCCTCGCCTTCCTCAGGAAATAGGGTTCTCTGGAGAAAACTCCCAGGTCAACAGCAGCTCCCGATGCTGACAGGGCGGGAGGGAGGCAGGCATTTTATTCTTGAATGCGTCTTTCCTCCAAGTAGAGTTCCAGCTGATTCTTCAGGCCCCATCAGTCTCGGCTGATGGAAAGCCTTCATTGTAGACTCAGTTTCGGGCAGCTGCGCTTGGCAGATGTGTCCTACAGACGGCAAGTGGTGTGGGGGGGAGGATGGTCCCAGCCAGGGATCTCCCAGTGGATGGGTATCAGGGTGAGAAAGGGAAGACTCTAATGTGGCGGGTTTGGCCCGTGACCCCGGATGGGTGGGCAGAGGCACCTGCCGCCACGTGTTTGGGGGTGGAGTTTGAGGTGGTCACTGGAGCTGCAGGTGCAGGCAGCCCAGGCGGCAGAGCATTCGGGGCTCCAGGTCCTCTGCACAGCATCCTTCAACAGTGACAGGCAGGACAGGGCCAGCCCAGGCCCGAAGCCCGGGGCACCCAGCAGGGAGAGGGACCCCTGGGATTTGGGAAGAGGGCTAGTGGCCCAGCATCTGGAGGAGGCATCAGGAGGAGGGGGCCTGGTGTGTTGTGGGTGAGACCTGAGAACCGCTGACCCCAAGGGGGCACCTGGTGGGTTGTGGGTGAGACCTGAGAACTGCTGACCCCAAGGGGGCACCTGGTGGGTTGTGGGTGAGACCTGAGAACTGCTGACCCCAAGGGGCACCTGTTGCAGGTGACTGGTCAGCACATGGGCTGTGGAGGGCATAGCGTGTGGCAGCCTATCCTCTCCCTGTGCCCCCGTTGTCCCTGCCCGGGCTGTTTCCTTAGGAATTTACCACTGTCAGGTTCTGTTGGCCCTGTGATGTCCACTCTATCGCACAGTTTCTGTCCAGGAGACTTTTTCAGAAGGAAACACCCAGTGGCCCTGTGGTTAAGATGCTTGGAAGTGTCTGGAAAACTTGGGGGTCGCTGGTGCTTAGGGGGGCCTGCCATGCTGCTAAGCACCTGGGCTCCGGGGGCAGAGGCTGTGGCTGTGCCCAGGGGAACGCATGGGGCCTTTACGTGGAGGCTGCAGTCCGGCTTACAGGAAAGCAACAGAGACGTGGAATGCATCTCACCTGGGTACTGCAGACCCGCTGGCTGCACACCCCACAGCCTTTGCCCAGTCCACCTGGGTTATGGGGCCTGCAGCTTAGGTATTTGATTTCAGGGTCCCAGGACCCAGATGATAAACTGTAACTGGGGCGAGTGTAGGCTCTGGGCTGCCGGTGCTGCCAGTCAGGGCTGGAGAAGCTGCACAGAGAAGCCTGGCGGGGGGATGCTGGCCAGGCTAGCTGGGATGCTCTGAGCACTTCCTCCCTCACTGGCACTTTGATCAGGATGAAAGGGCAAGAGGAACGAACGGAGGCAGCACACAGTGCTAGCCTGCCTCCTGCTCAGTGCTTGTGGGCAGCGACTGTTCCCCGAGCAAGGACGTCACTGAGCCCGGACACAGGAAGCCAGCTCCCAAGTCCAGGGGCCAAAGCAGGATGACCTGGAAGCCCAGCAAAGGAACTGGGAGGGGGTTACTGCTGTGGTACAGTAGCTTAAGCTGCTACTCCTGGTGCCGGCATCCCATAGAGCTCAGTTTCAAGTGCTGGCTTCTATGGCTTCCTGCAGATGTGCCTGGGGAAGCAGCGGAAGATGGCCCGAGAGCTTGGGCCCCGTACCTACCTGGGGGGCCTGGAAGACCATTGCTACCCTTTGGGGAAAGAACCAGCAGATGGAAGATTCTATCTCTGTAATTGGTGCCTTTCAGATAATCTTCAGAAAGTAAAAAAGAACGAAGAGGGAATTGAGCAGTGCTGTGAACAGGATGTGTAAGGTGGGAACAGGCAGAAGTCTTGCAGAAAGGCAGCTGAACTGGCTGCCCTAGACAGCTGTTCGGCCAGTCTGCCGTGGGGCTCCGGGAGCCCGGCCCAGTGCTGGGCTTTCCTGGGCTGGTCCCTGGGGCCCTCGGGAGTCACTCGCTGACACCTCCTCCCGCCCCGTTTTGGCCACTGTTTCCAGGACAGGCATGTAATGGCTTCTTTGCCAGCATCCCCCAGTTCCGAGGCGGCATCTTGGCAGGGCTGAGAGCACACTGGTGGTTGTGATGAAGTAACATGCCAGTGCCTCTGTCCTGTGGCAGCACTTCCAGAAGAAACGGCAGGTCAGAAGTTGTTGGAACTTTCCAGATCTTCAGGTCAATCCATCTACATTGCCACAGATGGAAGCCAGTCATCCCCCTCAAGGTTACCTTCCAGTCCAGGTCATACAGACGCCAAGCTTCAGGGTGCTGACACATCGGCCCGATGGACTGGACAGTGTACCAAGAAAGAGAATCAATACAGGAATAAACCTCAGAGGAAAAAACTCCTCGGCTGATGTGAATTTTCACCAACGGCTGGCAGTTGTGCGGTTGGCACTGCCAGTTGGCGTTTGGGTTTCCCATCTGCCTGCTGCCGGTGCGCTGTATCCCATGCTGTCCTCTGGGTCAGCACCAGCAGAGTGAGGACCGCGCCATTCCCAGCCCTCCGGCTTGAGCAGCCAGGCCGCACCTCGCAGGCTCCAGGCTGCCTGTGCCTCCCGGCCTGCAGAGCAAGGCTTGGGGACGCTCCCAGCCCCCCCCCCCCCCAGAAAGGACTTAGTTATTCAAGGTTGATTCATTTATTTGAAAAGGAGAGAGTTAGAGGAGCGGCGGAGTGATCTTCCATCTGCTGGTTCACTCCCCAAATATCTGGAACAGCTGGGGCTGGTCCACGTCGAAGTTAGGAGCCAAGAACTGCATCTGGGGCTTCCACATGGGTGGCAGGGGCCCAAACACTGGGCGTCTACCACTGCTTCTTGTGGGCCACTAACGGGCTGAATTAGAAGTGAACAGCCAGCGTCACACACAGTGCCTTTGTCCACTGTGCCACAAGAATCTCCAGGGGACACAAGGCAGCGTGGTTTTACCTGCTGCGAGGTAAAAGCAGTGCCAACAGCCACCACCCGACTCCTAAAATGCACGTGAGGAAGGGTGGTTCTCTGTACTAACCAGGTGCTGCCACGGTCAGTGAACCTGTCCACAGACTGACTCATTCCAGTATTTTGGTTTTATATGGTTACCAAGGAGACAGCTGTTCTCCCAGCCAGCCTTTCCCTGAGTGACTGCAGCTGATGGGCTGGGCTGAGCAGGTGTCGGCCGCAGGGCAGCGGCTGAATCCAAGTTTGGGCCACGGCCCTCGTCTCCAGTTTGTAAAACCAGCATGGGTGGAGCTTTTCCAGATGTGTCCTGGTCATTCTCGCAGCCCGAACAGGCCCCCTGAAGAAGAGCATATCAATCCGTGATGGTCTGGGCACTCTGACCCGCCTCCCCAGGGCACCCTGCAGGCCAGCTGCCTGGCACCGGGGCGCGCAGCTGCTGAAGGAGCTTTCTGGCCAGCTCTCTCGATGCGGGTGCCTCGATGCCAAGATGAGCCCACCTGTACAAGGTCCGGTCAAGAAAGGTGATAATCTCTCGGGCCGTCTCATCAGAGTGCGCCATCTGTAACAAGGACAGAGGGGAGGCACTGAATACGCAGACAGAGCCCTCTGCCCGGTGCACCCCGTCACCATCGGCACAGGGTTCCCGGCATCCCTACAGGAGCGCGCTGAGGGGGCCTGGATCGGTTTGCGAGGTTGGCCAGGCGAGTCTGTGCTCTGAGGTAGGCAGCCGTGGGCAGAACACCCCCTGAGACCCCCCACCCCTGAACTGAGGTCCAGCTGTGAACAGCCTCAGAGTTAGAGGTCACAAACGGGCAGGGCTCGGGGGCAGCAGTGTCTGCTGGGACACCGCTGTCAGCTTGCAGACTAGCTGTGGGGGCAGAGGCGGAGGAGTGAGCTGTGGCTCGTCTGCAGTGAGCTCACTCCACGAGGACTAGAAAATGTCCTATTTTCACACAGTCTCATCCATGGTGTTCCTGGGCTAGCAAGCGAGCCAGGTATTTTAAATAGGCATCAAGGTTGGTTTGTTTTAGGATTTTCATTTTGGGCCTGGCGTGGTAGCCTAGTGGCCAACATCCTTGCCTTGAATGCAATGGGATCCCATATGGGGACTGGTTCTGATCCCAGCAGCCATACTTCCCATCCAGCTCCCTGTTTGTGGCCTGGGAAAGCAGTCGAGATTGGCCCAGGGCCTTGGGACCCTGCACCCACGTGGAAGACCCGGAAGAGCTCCTGGCTTCAGCTCAGCAAACTCTAGCCACTGCGGCCACTTGGGAAGTGAGTCAGCGGACAGATCTTCCTCTCTGCCCCTCCTCCTCCCTCTGTATCTGACTCTCCAATGAAGAAAAGATTTTAACTTACATTGCAAAGGCAGACTTAGAGAGAGGGAGGGAGGGAGACCGTGTGTCTGCTGCTTCATCCCCAAGTGGCCACAGTGGCCAGAGCTGCGCGGATTTCCACCTTTTAAAAATAATGTTTATTTATTTGAAAAATAGCATGTGCTCCCATCTCCTAGTTCACTCTTGAAATGCCTACAGCCAGCAGGCTGCGCCCAGGCTGGAGCTGGGGCTTGCCGTGAGGCCCGCAGGCACATGTGACCCGCCTTGTTAGGGGCGTACTGTCGCCTGGAGTGGTCCCTGCTGTGGTCACTTGCTCCTTGGGCTGTGGTGAGAAGGCGCGGGTCGCTGGGACCGCTGCCGAGGGCCTCCTTCAGCCCTTCCACCTCAAGTGGGTTCCCAAGTAACGAAATAAACATGTTGTAAAATCATGGCAAAAAGCATATAACATAAACTGTGCCATTTAACCATTTTTTTTGCAGTCCAGTGGGATGAAGGACATTTACAATGGTGTCCAGACATCACTGGCACTTTCTCATCCCATGCAGGAACTCAGCACCCACTAGCGAGAAACGCCCAGCTCCTGCCTGCTCAGCCATCCGCTCCTGAATTTGACTCTAGCCCGAGTGTGCAGTCACACGGTGTCTGCCCTTGTAGCTGGCCTCACTCTGCAGCGGCTTCAGCGTGCATCCATGGTAAACATGGGCTAGGACTGCCTTGCCTTGCAAGGCTGAATACACCCCTTGCATGCGCTGCTTCTGCTTTAACTCATTTATGTGAAAGGCAGAGCCACAGACAGCGCTCCAGGCACAGGTAACCTTCTTCCGTAAGAGCGAGGGACTGCCCGTGCCCGTGCTGCCTCGCTCCCGAAAGGCTGCGTGGCCGGGAGCTGCTTCCAGGGCTCCTGCATGGGTGACAGGGGCCCGGACACGGGGCCGTCTCCTGCTGCTTTCCCAGAACTTTAACAGGAAGCTGGACAGGGAGTGCAGCAGTTGGGATGCTGAGGTGGTAACAGGATTAACGTGTGGACCATTTACCTGCTGAAGGACACGGAACTGTTTCTGCCAAAGTCAGATAGACAGAGAGGAGAGACAGAGGAAGAACTTCCATCTGATGATTCACTCCCCAAGTGGTTGCAACGGCCGGTGCTGTGCCGATCCGAAGCCAGGAGCTTCCTCCAGGTCTCCTACATGCGTGCAGGGTCCTAAGGCTTTTTCCCAGGCCACAAGCAGGGAACTGGATGGGAAGTGGAGGTGCTGGGATTAGAACCGGTGCCCATATAGGATCCCGGCATGTTCAAGGCAAGGACTTTAGCCGCTAGGCCGCCGCACCGGCCCCTGTTTCTGCCTTTAACTACTGTGAAAACAGCTGTCAGTCCTGGTTTCGGTTATGGGTTCTGCCTGGGGCAGGAGCACCAAGTCCTGATCCACAGACGCTGTCCCGTGTGAGCATTCCCAGCTCGTGCTTTAGTTTGTCTAACATCCTCGCCAACCTTTATTTTCCTCTTTTCTCCAAGGAGCTTTGAACTGCATTTCTCTAATGACTAATGATGTGAAACATATCTATTTGTGCTTATTCACCACTTGTCCATGTAAGCCCTTTGCCAGTTTCTGCATTGAGCTTTTGCCTGATGTTGAATTATGCGAATTTTTTATCCAGAACTCTAAACTCTTATGGGACACGTTATCTGCAGGTGTCTGTCCTGCTCTGAAATGTCTGCACTTTGGGTCTGTTGCAAGAGCGCGTACAGTTCTCATGAAATCTCATCCTTCGGTCTTGCGTGTGTCTGGCGCTGTCCTGGTGGCGTCATTGCCACAGGAGGAAAGGTGCTCCTTTCTGGCGGTTCCGGTGGGCGGGCCTTCGGGAAGGACGTCAGTAGTTAACTGAGTCGTGAACATACAGACCTGCAGTCTGGGGGTGGCTGTCTCCCTCCCGTCTGTCAGGAGGACGGTGGTGCACTGGGCTTGAGGGGATGGAGTGCTTCCTGGGGCTCCCGCGGGCCCTGTGACCTGATGGCGTCTGTCGGTTCTCACCTGAGTGAAGGTGTTGCCAGAGCAACAGGTTAAGCTGGGGCTCATCCTCAATGGCAAGCTCACTGTGCCTTTGCATGTGTTGGAGCAGCATCCGGGGACACCTGCTTTTCAAAGGCCCTTGGGCATGTTAACTGCCCCTGCCCCCCTTCGTCGGGGGCGTTTGGGGGAAGGGCAATGGTGGAAGAAGGGACTCACCAGGCGCATAGCTTCCAGGGCGATGGCGTGGCCTGCAGGAGCCCAGAGCAGGAAGTTGAGCAGCAGGCACCTGAGGAGTGCCGGGGAGGCAGCTGCCCTGGACTCTGTGGCACCGGCAGGCCCAGCAGCCACCTGCAGGTCCCCGGCCGAGATGGTGGCACTCCTGGACAGCTTCCGGAGGCGGCCAAGCGCTGCCTTGATCTCCACCTGGGAAATGGAATTTCCAAGAATTAGGGCTGAGGCAAGCTGGGCCTTGCACGCTTCTAGGATGAACTCGGCGCTTTCCTGAGCCCTGGGGAGGAGGCCGGCTCTGGCGCCCAGGCTGGGTGGAGAGTGGCGGCCGTGGCCCCTGCACTCTGCTGCACACAGACCCAAGCGGGCGCAATGGAAATTTCCTGACTTTCTTTCGTCTTGCTCACCAAGCAGCCAGGGCGCCACGCCAGGAATTGACCTTTTTTTTTTTTTGTATGAAAGGAAATGGAGAAAAGTCCTCAACAGTCTGCAGTCAGATTTTTTTTTTTTTTTTTATTGTGGGAAACAGAACAAAAGGCTCCTTGAAGACTTGCCTTCCTATCACAGCCACAAATCAATTACAGCCCGTGCGGCCAGACCTCCACTGCGCCAGTGTTCTGATAAGAATGCACGTTCGCCTTTTGCCTTTTGCCATCTTTGGGGACACACACACACACACTTGTTTTGTTTTGGACACTGGAACAGTCTGTTCACACACGTTTAAAGCCCAAGCAGAGGTCACGAGTCTGTGGAATCCACATAATAACGGCGATTGTTCTATGTCTGTGGGTTGTTTTTGCATAAAAAATATTTATTCCATGCTGAGACTTCAGCTGGCTTCAAGAGTGGTCCATCAAGTTGTGACTTGGAAAACAGCAAAGACTGAAAGCCTGGGACCCAAAGCACCAGTGTGGACTGATGGCCAGCAAGGACCCTCGGTTTCCAAAGAGCCCTGGGTCCTCTGGTGCAAATTCCCATGACCGATTTTATGGATTTGTGAGTGGGTTTTTTTTTTTTTTCCTGGAAGTTGAGGCCTCAGTCAATGGAGTCTGTCATAAACTGCAGTACACTGGCAGTGTTGTGTGAGGGCTGCTGACCACAATGCGACCGTGAGAAACTGCGCCCTGGGGCTCTTCCACGGAGCAGGGCCGCATTCCCACGCCACGGGCCACGCGCCCCCCCATCCCCTCGGCTGATGCAAGCTGCAGGAGCCCCACGAGTGGCTGCCATCTAAGTGGGCTTGCAGGAACGCCAGGGCTTGGGCCGCTAAGCTTTCACATCCATCTCCTCCTCCATGCCTCCGGCTTCCCCTCGTCCCCAGTATTCCCAGGGACTTGGTCCTTGCCTTTTTTGGAAGGCCTTTTGATATTTCTCTTTTTCCTATTTTGTCCCAGACTGACTTTCCCTCAAATGCCTTCTAAGTGCGTAAGCTTTGACTCGACATGCCAATAACTAACGCACTCAAAGTTTTCAGAACAAAGAGAAGCTTTCTCTTAAAGTACTTTTTTTAGCTTCCATTATAAAAATTTCTGTGCTTACTATGGAAAATTCAAAAAGAAAAAAAATATTTCAGTGATTTATAACTATCCATTGTAGAGAACTAGGTTTATATATTTCTTGCCCCCCCTTTTTTTTTTACTTCATAAAAGCATCTTCTATAATATTCAAAGACTTGATAAATGAAGCCATGCCTCTGTAATCAGGTCCAAAGGGAACATGCTAGAACGAGAAAGTCAGGCACCTCACTAATTGTCTTTATACCTCAGGTGTGTGTGTGTGTGTTTAAGTAAATTTTTACTTTTCTTGCTTTTTGAAATGTCTTTATCTTATTTTAATTTTAGTTAGCTTAATTCAATGTGATTTGTAGACACAATTCTGAGAACATAATGAATTCCCCTTCGCCCCCCTCCCACTTTCCCTTCCTTCCTTGTCTTTTTTTTTTTTTTTAAAGATTTTGAGATAAAGTATTTTAAAGTTTACGTGACACTAAAAAGATGTAACACTCCTCCAAACGACTATAACAAGGCAAAGGCAGAAGGGCCTTGGTGCAGTGGGGAGACAGACAACAGCCATAAGCAGAATGAGCGGTTCATTCTCTATTCAACACATTTTAAAGTAATTAATCAGATCATCGAAACCATTGTATGATGGCTCAAAGGGCTAATTCTCTGCCTGCAAGCAAGTGGCAGATCCTTATGGGCACGAGCTCATGTCCTGGCTGCTCCACTTCCCTTCCAGCTCCCTGCTTGTGACCTGGGAGAGCAGTAGAGTATGCGCAAGGCCTTGGGCCCTGCACCCGCCTGGCTTTGGATCAGCTCGGCTCTGGCTGTTGTGGCCATGTGGGAAGTGAGCCAGCAGATGCATCTTACTGTGTCTCCGATCTGTAAATCTGCCATTCCAAAATAAAAATAAGTATATTTGAAAAAAAAAACTATAGTAGTACAATATTCTTAACCATTGAATTGGCAAAGTTGTATAAAGCTTTATTTACAGTAATATTGACAGGCATAGACTTTTAAAAATTTGTTTGCTTAAATATTAGCTCCCATGTGTAAGAATAAGCATTGTTTGTCTTTCTGGGCCCAGCATATTTCCTCAACATAATGTCCCCCAGTTGAGTCCATTCTGCTGCAAATGACAGAATTTCATCTTATATAATATTTCATTGAGTATATATGCCATGTTTCTTTGTCCATCCCTCCGATGGCGGACACCTTGGCTGCCGTGAACACGTAGTGCCAGGATTCTCCTGCTCGCTCTGTTCAGCTCTGGGCACAAGCGCGGCAGTGGAGCTGCCGATCATATGGGGCGTCTCTCACTCTGGAGGAAGTTCCCACGCTGTGTTCACAGTGGTTGGCAAGCCCACCAGCCGTGTGTAAGTGTGCCCCTTTCGCCACATCCTTGCTGCTGTTACACTCCGTGTTTCAGATTTTAGCCACTTTTAAAAGAGTGAGGTGATATCCCAGTCGGGTTTTCATTTGCATTTTTCTGAGAGCTAGTGAGGTTGAGCATTTTTTCATATATTTGTTGGCCATTTGTATTTCTTCTTTTGAGAACTCTTTTGAAGTCCTTTGCCGATTTCTCAGCTGGTTTGGTTGTTTTGTTGTTGTTGAGTTTCAAAAGTTGCTGATGTAGTTGCAATGCTAATCCTTTGTCAGGTATGTAGCATGCAAATATTTGTTCCCATTTTGTTGGATGTCTTCGCTGTATTGATCATCTTCTTTGTACAACAGCTTCTGGATTTGTTACAGCCCTGTTTAGCTTTGCTTTTGTTGTTTGTGTTTGGAGTGGGGAGCTATTGTCCAAGAAGTCGTTGCGTACATCAAGTCTTGGCGTGCTTCCCTTAGGTTTTCTTCCAGCAACTCACAGTTGCAGGTCTTAAATTCAGGTGTTTGATACATCTAATTGATTTTTTTTTTTAATATGGTGAGAAGTGTGTGCTTAAATTTTTCCCTTTACATCAATACATCCAGTTTTACCAGCACTGTTTGTTAAAAATATTATACTTATTCCACTGTATGGTTTGTGCACCTTTGCCATAACTCAGTTGGCTGTGTGTATGTAGGTGAGTTTCTGGGCTCTGCTCCACTGATGGAGCAGTTTCTATGCCAGCACCATGCTGTTTGAATTCCTGCAGCTCTGTAGTATGCGTTGAAGCCAGGGATTGTGACGCCTCCAGTTTGGTTTTCCTTGCTGGGAACTGCTTTGGCTTCTGGGCCTTTAGTGATTACCTAGGAACTTTAGGATTGTATTTTCTAATTCTATAAATAGTGTCATTTTAAAATATAGACCATTTAATCTGGAGAATGCTTTAGACAGCATAGACATTTTAATGATAGTTGATACACAAGCAAGGACATTTTTCATCAATGTTTGCATAATTTTCTTTGCAGACATACTTCCTTAATTCCTAAATGTTTGATTTGTCGGCCTGCACCAGGGGAGTCGCTCTGCCTTCTCAGTGCTGGCAGGGTGCAGCCCTCAACTGCACTGGGGTGGACTCATTTACTAGAGGATATTAAAACTGTCTTTCACATACAGTAGCGCTACTGATTAACAAAATCTGGATTTTTAAGTTGCAAAGTTATCTGAGCACTTAATTTTCATGTACATCTTTTATTGAATGCTTTGGTTCAAGAAAGAATTGTAAAGGATTTTTTTTTTTTTTAGATTTCAGTTCTTAACATAACTGTACCCTTCTCAGGGAAGAGCATGGCGAACGTGGCTGCAGTGGAGCTTAGTGGCACCCAGCTCCACCTGCAGAGGGCTGCCTTCTCAGTGAATGCACTTGGCTCTAGGACTCGAGTTCCCAAGTGCTCTGTGTGGGCTGCACTCTCCGCAGCATTGCACAGGAACCACCTCACTGAGGCTTGTCTGGTGACACTTCTGTGTTACAATGGATGAGACTTGTGTTTTTATATATGAGTGAGTGTAGTTAGTGTCATGGTAAAGCCTGTTCCATGTGTACACAAGGCACTACTTCTAAGTTAATGCATGTCGAGTCCTAATTTTTTACTTTATTAAAGCCTTCGATTTTTCTTTCAATTTTATGTAACTTAGTTCTGACTTGATATGAACATCTGTACACATCAGTAGATTAAGTATTACACATAATCATTTCTATTCAGCATTGATGCACTTGTTATTAGGTAAATAATAAAGCCATGTACAGAGGGGGTTTTTTGGTATGTTTATTTTGTAACCTGCAACTTTCCTGAATCGGATATCGATTGTAACAGCTTTCAGTGGAATGCTCATGTTTTCCCACGTACACTATCATGTCACCTGCAAACTTGGGGAATTTGACTTTCTCTCTTTCAATGCTGATGCCTTTTAAGATTTCTTTCCTCCCTTCACTGCTCTTGCTAAAACTTCCAGGGCTGTTTTGCCTGGGACTGGCCAAAGTCAACAGCCTTGTCCTGTTCAGATCTTGCTCCCGTTATTGGCTCTTAGTGTGTGGCATTCAGCCTGCCTTCTTTCGAGGAACGGTCCTTCTTTCCTCACCTGCGGGGTACTTTTATCATGACGAGATGGTGAATCTTGTCAAATACTTTCTCAGTCTTGATGATCAGCTGGAGTTGGTTCTTCGTGCATCTGGTTTGTGAAGTCTGTAACTTGCGAATGTTTGCCGCTCTTGCAGTTCTGGGGTGCTCCCCACGTGATCCTGACGTCTCATCTTTTCCCTGTGGTTTTAG